GGAACTCCTTCTTCTTTTGTGTAGTCAATACTCCACCTTATACTATGGGTTGGAGCATGAAATGTAACTAAACCCTAGCTACCCAAGTTCAAATCTCACAACTATAGTAAGTGAGATCAGATGCAAATTTCCGATCTCTTCAGATGAGGTTCTTATAATTTTGAACCCCTAAACTCTTACTCTTTTTCTTTTTTTGTTTTTTCTTTTTAAAAAAAGCTTTTTTTCTCAAGAAAGAAAGAACGGAAAATAGAAGGCTGATATAAAGTCAACTCTATCTAGTCAACAGTTCTTTCCATGCAGCTTTTCATTCTCATAAGAATCAGACTGACTGACAAAAGTTTAAAGCCCGTGTCGTGAAAACTTATTACTGTAGTGATTTATAGAATCACTACAGTTCTCGAGTTGTTTAAAGAAAACTTCATGGATACCGGTCAAAATGTTTCCGTTCAGTCTTAGCCTCTTGCATTTTGACGCTGTGAGTGAGTAGGTGGAGAATACTAGTTAGTATCACCAGTACGTTACACTGGTGATACTAACTAGAGAAAAACGCATCTGAGTGTTTTTCTGTTTTGTACATAATCACTGTAGAAAGGCCGAACACTACCTCAGCCGAAGTGGTTTTTAGTGTCCTTATATCGAAGTGGTTTTCAGTGTCATGATATCAGCAAGTTTATTAGCAAGTAGGAGCAAAAGCATGAGTATTTTTTGAATTTGCTTCCAGTTGAGAAGACTGTTTGTGTGAGAGGGAAGCAACCAGAGGAATAAGTCACAACTTCAAAGGAGTTCTTTTTATGGGCAAGGCAAGATTAAGGGGAGAAGTGTGCTGATGTTCTCGCCATCCAAGATTTAGAATGGTCATAAAGGTGATACACCACTTCATCCATCAGGTTTTGCAAAATAGCGCTTTGGTGATTGGTATATACAAGCATGCAAACAAGTGGAGAATGCAATCATGTTGTGGAGAGATGTGTGACTACCTGATTGAATAGTAATTAAGAGAAACAATTGTTTACAACTGCTATTTTCTTTTATACTGTAGGGTACTCTTATGTGTAGGGTAGTCTAAACCCTGATCATTATAGTTTTCATTAAAGTTTAATTTTCTATTAATTGCACAAATTTCCAACCGCCTTTTAAGTTTTGGATAGAGAAAATTGATTTAAATCTGATTTCAAGTTTCAAAATTACTCTAGTATGGATGTGACATCCATCCAAATGCTAAAATTCATTTTTGACGTGGTCCATGTCTAAGATTTATATCTTTGAGTACATCAAGGTTTAAGTACATTGAAAATATTATCTCGTCATTATCAATTTGTGGTTTCTATCATAATCTTATGTTTTATTGTAATTTATCAACCTTTCAAATTATAAAATTCTTAATTTTATATTTTTCATCTAGGGGCAAGGCTACATCCACAACTAGAACACATTGTATATTGCAATGGCAAAAAGACTATGTACAGTCTGAATTCACTAGAATTAAGTATCCCTATTCCTGGCGATCTAGCGATCCTTTTTATTTATATTTAGCTAGTACCAAGGTTAATACTTAACAGAAATTAATGTTAACAAAATTATTAAAAATATATAATTTATGAATTATAATAAAAAATATATTTAAATATATTATAAGTTTATCATGTATCCCAAAAAAAATTTGCACTATTAAGAAAAATTCAGTATGTAATTATAAACTTCAATAAGACTATCGCAATATTATATCTTCGATCTCATACATTTTCAAAAAAATCTAATCATAATTGAATCATTATTTTATCAACTATTTAAAAAAATTTGTTTGAAGATTAGGTTAAAGATCCTCATTCTCTACGTATCAAAGATTATCAAACATGATGAGAATCTAGAGAAAGAAGCAAAGAAAATATACGTATTTTTATAAGAAATAGGTATTAATTGATTTTTAGTTCATCTATACTCTCTAAACAAAATATGTCAAAGGCCTTTAGTACAAAATTGCACATTGATGAATGTGTACTAGGCACTGTAGAACGTACGTACGGTATCACAAAAACTCTGATGCAACTTTGAATCCTATAATGTGTAATTCGTAACATAATTATTTGGAAGCTGCAAATGAAGAGCAATGCTTCGAAAAGGTCAAATCCTTTACATCGACGTATTAACTCTCAAATATATATGGAGGTTAGTAGCCAAAATTATTCCTTGCATGATCAACATAAACCGAAAATTGATTTATAATTTTCTCAATAAAGCTATTCAGATCGTGACATTCTCGTACGAATTCTGCATGATATATGAATATGGTAGTTTTAGATACTTTTCATGTATATTTTCATTGAAAAAAAAAAGAGTTGAATTATAAGTGAAAAGTCATTCTCATCCACAAAAAAAACGAATCATTAAAATATGTAATTAAAATAAGACTCAATTAGGATTTTATAGCTATATCATTATTTTTAAAGATGACTGATCTTGAGAAAATAATAAAGTCATTTTCAACATCCATTTGCAACATTTCAATTTAGAAAATTGTCTAAGATTACTATAATAGCCAATAATTTTGCCTCACATTCTCTTAATTAGACAATTAAAAATTTGGTCTAGGCCTACACATTCGCGAACACATGATTCTATTTACAAACATATCCATGAAGGAAGGTTCGACTAAGTAATTGCGATACATTCATATCCTCGCTTTGGAATGCATTCCATAATTGAGCCACAAGGTATATGTGCCATGCACTATTTATTGAACTAAATACAGTTCTGAACTTGTAATATACATGTGTCTCATGAATTTCATTACATAACGTCATGTTTGCGAAATATTTGTATATGTCGCTTGCGATAAAAAATAAATATATTTGGGATGGCTGTGGTGCCATCTAATTACCCTGAAACCTTTACAGGTAATTTACGCTCAGTAGTGACTCCCATCCCTACTTGGGGCACAGAATCACAAAATTTGAAGCAAACATGCTGGTTCAGAACGTTTAGCACTATTCACAACTTCGTAATGAAGGAAGCTCGTTTCTTCTTTTCCAATATACGTTTTACCAAGTGTTCCAACCAGAGATAAATGTTCTGTTTCCCACAATGATTCAGAACTCCACTAAAGTACAATCTTAACTGAGTGCAAAGTACTAACTTTGGGGAAAATATTCTACTGATTTTACATTATTGTAAATCTTCAAGTATAGTGTGCTACTGACCTATGTGTCCTATCATTTTATCAACATGCTTCAATGTATAGAAGGTTTTAATTTCATAATATTTAGACATAGAAACCCAACCTTCAATTCAAGTTGGAAATGAATACATACATGTTTTAAGATGCATGAGAATGAATGAATGAATATATATATATATATATATATATATATATATATATATATATATATAAAACAAACGTGCAAACTCATTGTAAGCACTTTTGTTTGACAAATTTGGCACGTTTCACAATTTGGCTGTAATTTTAAAATTTGATGGATTATGAAAGAAATATAAAAATTTTCGTTAAAGTAAGTTCAAATAATCACCAACCGTAGAACTTGGGATATATTTATCATTAGAGTTAATAATGTCATAAATAAAACTTATTTCTTCCAATTACTTTTCATTTTTTAAACTATATATGTTGCATGAATTCTAACAATATAAATTTTTTAAACTTAGATTTCAAATTATATAATTGTATCAATTCAAAATACAATATTTGATAATATTTGATTTGAAAAAAAATCGAAATGATTGTTTGGAATATATTTCACATATTGTAAGAAATGTAAAGTCATTTATGATTTACAACTTGAGCTTGAAGGATATCACGCCGTAATTTTACGTCAAATTTGAATCACGAATTTCATGTAGTATCATCCAAGATGGGAAAAAAATAAATCTATCATATAATCTTTGCATTGTGTATATTATACAAAAGATAAGAACATTTGATTACTTATAAAAAAATCTACAATTTATGACAATTTTTTGTCATATTTGTTTGTTACACATTTCTAAATATAGAGTAATTTTCTAATTTGAAACAAATTCTCAGTTGAATCATGTGCAAAATATAATAAGAATACTTTGCTTGGAATTTTGTCATTACACTATACTATATTTTATCTCTTCTTCCAGTGGACAATTTTTGCATGACCTGAGGTAACCTTAATTGTGATTTTTACATATACAGTTGTGCGTAATTGAGAAAAAATACTGAAAATATGTTCCATCACAGAAACATCTAGTCCCCGTTTATAGCTTTGAAGTTATTTGAATTCAAAGTATATGATGCATCATCTACTGTGTGCATCCACTCCAAACAAACATATTTTAGGTTTGAATTATTCGTTAAGATTATCTAATATGTCTTACGCTTCTCACGTACGCTATACGTCTATGAGAATGATCTCATGAGTGTTTTAGTTTCAATACACTACACACATTTTTAACTTGGTTCGGGTATGATATTGTTAAAGAAAATTTAGCATTAACCTGGACCCTTGGTGCACTCTTGCACTGAATGTACCTTTCAACTCACTTTCACTTTAAATGTTGGCCTCTCTCAAAAGAACCCGTCTTTACTCAACGGAGACAAAGAAGACTGAATCAGGCTGGAGTCTGAGAGTAAATTTTCAGAGGAGTCCACAAGAGATACTATCAAGGGCTTCTCAGATACCTTAGCCGATCGTTTTTCCACTGGAGAATGAAACTCATCCCTGAGAGACTGACGGCTAAAGCGGAGTTTCATACTCTTGCCCACCCGCCGCCCACCTACCAAGTCACCAATTACAGTACCGGTGATCGGTTGCTGATGTCAGGAGGGGCTGAAGACCAGCGAATGGGAGAACGAAGTCACCGCAGTAGAGTGCAGCGAAAATACTTCGTAACCGACCATGTAGGGCCGAAACCAGGCGCGACAGTAAACATTCGACGACGTAGAGCGTACGGTGTACTGGCTCAGGTTTTCGGACATGACTAACCCGGCGCCCGGGACCGGCGGAGCGAATATATTTGGGCCTGGCCCTCAGAGTCCAGAGGTAATCAAATTCTTATATTTGGCGTCAATGATGTCGAGGACGATCTGGTCTGGCATGCACTGTTGGTGGTCGCCGTCGAACTCCACGGAAGACGAGGAAAGGAGAGAGAGTTGCTGAAGAACTGAACAGGGAATGCGGAGGGCAGATTGAGACGTGGAGGAGGGCCGAGGGACGAGGGCGGTGACGATGTAGGGAGGCAGAGGCGATTCGATTGCGACGTGCAGGCTTCGGCGGTGGGGGTGTGGGTGGGGGTGGGGGTGGAGGTGCGAGCCTTCTTCTTTTTCTTCTTCTTCTCCTTCTTCATGCTGCGAGCTGGCCTGGGCGGCAGGAGGTTGATTTTGCGAGAGAGAGCTGCGGATTGGATTGAATTTCTGTTGGGCCCTGTTCCGGGTCGGGGATCGTCTTTCGCTATCGTCGGTGCATGAGGGCACGAGGGGAGCCAGGCGCCTGAACAGGAAATCGGCGTGGCTGCGGTTGTCATTCAGGTACTGTGTGCAGTTGGATCGAGGCCGGACATGTCTTTCAAGCTTGCTCGAGTCGTCTCTCTCGTTTGATGCAAATTCTTTCCGCATTCTTCTTCTAAAGAACGAGGGTCATTGGATGATACTTCCGTACGCTTGCTTGCTGCATCGGGTTGTGTGAGGTGCCCTACCCAAGTCGTCGTTATCTCAGGATCTGGGTGCGGAATCTGGGCACGTGACCTCCGAGCGAGCTCCTTGTTAGAATAACCCTAGAAATTGGGGTAGTGTTTCGTGGCTCTTCTGAGACGCCATCAGAAGAAGTATGGCAGAAAATTGGGGCCATTTTTAGATCTGCCTCGGATATCATATTGGTCAGCGCCTGAAGATGATGACTTCAGAGAGAGTATACTGAATTCTAGTTTGTGGAATTACTCAGGAAATGCAGGTCAAAGAAGTTTCCTTACATAAATTAGCATACGCCCTTGCTGCGGCTTGGAGGAAAAGAAAGGTCGAGATGGAAGTCCTCTGTTTACACCATCCAATTCTGCACTTGAACATGTCATAATATATTCTGCCAAATCAGCTGGGATGCATCTTGAATGGTTGGGGATCTTGGACTTGGAGCAGAACCTTTTGCCTTCTTTGGCATATGCACTGGAGCTTTTTTGGCACCTGAGTTTTCTCAATTCAGTTTACGTTGTCTAAACTGGTTGAAGTTGTATTTTTATAGTTTGCTCAATGGAACCAATGAAGATGTGTTCTCATCTACACGATAAGACCCCCCGAAAGAAGCAGTCCTGAGGTAAGTACAAAATCTTGTACGTCAGTTATCTCCTCAGTGCACAAGTTCTATTCCCTGATAACGTCTAACGACAGCTGCGCAGTCACAGCCGTGAAACTCGCCGGCAAATTAGTCCGATAAACGTTCAATTTATCACTCAGAGCAACCCAACAACCACACCTGTGTCTCACTTCCTTGCACTCATATTCAGGAGATAAGAGCACACAGAAATCACCGGAAATATTAGAGAAGAGGTTAACACTGATAAGTTTACTTCAATTAAGCTGGCTAACAACGCACAAGTGCCTCTTTACCTCCTGCTTTATATCAATTTCACCTATGAAGCTGATAACGAATTGAAAGGCGACGCTGTACTTACAGACCATGAACAAACTAGATGACTTCTCCTTTGATGTTAGAATCGTTAGGAAGGCTTGCTTTATGCCGAACCACCATCGAAGTTAAACTCAGTGAATGACATGGTGGGAATAGAACTTCAGCTAAAAACTTCACAGCAGGTGTGCACACTTTCTCTTCGGTCTGGAACCTACAATAAGCCTGACATTTATCTCTTTGTCATTCTCCTCGTACTAGATGCACCGCAGCAAGTCCTTGAGTAACGGAGAGCTTTCACCTGGGCTCTTTGACCGGAGTAATGCTTCCTGTTCTTGCTCCGTTATTGTACTGTGCATTGGTATTTGCCGGATGTGCTTTCTATTATAAACACAACTGCCGCAGGCGCAGGAGAGAAGATTTTCCTTCTGAAAGGTACCTATCCACCCAAGCGGATACTTTTCTAATTATGTACAACCGTCCTTCGTATGATTCAGTTTTGCTGGGAATGGCAAGGTAGGCAATTTTATCGGTGTGTATGTGAATTTTATCTGTATAAGGATTTGTAAATGCCATTAGCTCCTCAGTTGTGAACCCTCACTACGTTTAGCCCGTGGTCCCTAGTCGGTTAGTCATTGACTTCTCTTTCTTGTTTCTATGCAACTTTAATCTGCCGGTGGCGACAGTACTTGATCACAGTAGAAACTTCTGTAACTGGAGTCGTAATGCCTCTCAACCTGCAGAGAGGAAGAGGAGGATAGACAGCCACCCAAAAGACGAAGAACTTCTGGCGTTTGGAAAACAGCGATTTAAGGTTCGTAATCCTGAACTTTATTATTCTAGAGAAATGCCAGAGTCTTAATAGAAATGGAAAGAGCTCAGGTGAATGGGAGAGGAGACGACACTGTGCTCGGTGTCGTCTCGTATGTAATTACTAATATGCGCGGGATTCGGTCTGCACTCGTGGAGTTATCGACTTAGGTTTTTCGGCAAATTTTTTTTTATGCTAGCTAGTGAGACTATCAGTTTGTTGGCTCCAAATCGTATTTGATCGAACTCGTTAGTTTTACCTTTTCCTTTTGTGCCCAGGGTTTGGCTCTTCACACTACTTGTACCGTCGTGTTGTAGCATGTCGAGCCTTATGGCTGTGGAGTCCTCTCGCGCACCAAATGCAGATTCTGAAGGGAGCATTGAGAATTTGTTCGAAAGCGGATTAGAGTTGTCACCTTCTTCACCACGCTCTTTGTCGGATACAGTCCCTTCTTACACCCTCGCCGGAAGCCATCTACCCACTGTGAATTCTCCCGCAAGGTTTCCACCCCCTCCAAACTCCTGTTTTCCCCAAACTTATCATCTCAATATGACTTTCTTTGATGGCCAACCTGTTCCCAACCACTCTTCTTGTGAGCTTCCCTCCCCTGAACCTAGCGCCCCCTACGACCACTGGGCTGAAAGGAGTTCGTTGTCGGCCTACGGCTTGGACAACAGCTCAAAGTTTGTCTCACATTGGCCTCTACCTTCTGCCAACTACATCGACAACTCTAATTATGGTACCAAAACGTCAGAACCACAGTATCCCACATTATCAAACTCAGTTGAATATCCTTCGACCAAGGCTACGAGTAAACCTTTCACCCCCAGATTTTCGGCTTCAGCTCAAGAGTACCATTCTGCTGTGTCACCCAGTGCAGCAGTACCATCCACGTCGTTTGCTTCAGTATCTTCTCCTTACTTTTCTTCCTTCTCTCCTCCGAACGTACCTTTCGACTTTCCCCACTTATCGAGTCGATTTTCTTTCAACCCTAATGCGTCGGCATTTTACCCGGGAATGTACAACCAAACCACTTACGGCCCTTGCAGTGAAGACTTCTCGACCTATAACGAGCCTACTTATACATCTCAGCTTGCTTCTACAAATTTTCTTTCCAACTCTCATCAGGGTGTGGACAGCTTCCATGATGCCTCCTCACGTCCTATGCATTCTCCAGAGACTGCTCCTCGCCCCATAAGGTCCAATTCACGTTCTTTTTTTTCTGGTGTCCATTCCTTTAGTGGTTCTTCCGCCACTTTGTCCAATTCGATCGTTGAGCCTTCGAATGTTTATTCTTCCCGAACAGATTACTGTGGGCTAGCATGCTCATCCGATTGCTCGGGCATAAGGGAATCCTCTTGTGATTTTGCACCAGTTTCTTCTCTGTCCTTCGAAATGCAGGTTCCTCGAGCATCTGTGTTCAATCCATACGACACCAATGTCACATTACCTCTTTCCGGTCAGCTGAAAGATCCAGAAGTGGAAGAGGACGATATGATGGAACGAATTCTCAAAGAATCCGGTAGTCTTCTCTATCACCAGCATATCAGCCCGGAGGAATGGCGCTGGAATATATACGAGGCTCAGTACGAGTCTCTGGATGTCCAAGGTATGTAAGTAGTTCTATGCTCGTCCACTGCTCAGTCAACGCTTGAACCTAGCCTAGGGATTTATATGTCTTCATAACAGTTGTTGACTACTGCTGACACTCACTTCTTAGCAGATATGGAAAATAAACTGAGTTTAGAAGAGGAGCTTCAGTTCACTTCCAAAGCAAATTTTAGTATAACGTAACAATATGAGTGGATTCAAGTACAAGAAATGTTCACAGAGCCACTTGGAGTATTTTTTTGCGCCTGCATATTTGGTGTTTATCAAGGCCAGAACTTGCTGTTCGCAGCCTTTTGTGAGGCACCAATTCAGTGTGTTGCATCGAATGTCATGGACGGAATATGACACTGTAATTGGATCGGTGTACTCGATTCTATGCTTGTACCTCCAGTTTTTGTTCTCCATGTTCTTAAAGGCCAGTGGCTTTTATTGCAAGCAGGACTGGTCGATCTTGCTGATTGCTCTTCGAGGAGTTTTCGGCCAACTTACAACTACTTTCAGGGTGTGGACCGCATTGGGCCAAGCTGTGTCAATGAGGCTGTGGGTGGAGATAGAAACTCTCTGTTTGCATTAAGCATCCTAGAGAGGTCTAAATTACAGAATCAGGCGGCAGGCCCTTCGTTGAAACTGGCAGCGTCGGCTCTGGCTGAAATGCTTGCGTTCAATTCAAGAAGTGCTGAGAGCTCCACTGGTCAAAGTATTATGGCCCAATTTGCTTCTTTTCCCCGGGCTACACAAGGTGCTGATGTAGCTTTTCCAATAATTGGTGGTTCAACTGAAGCTTTGCGAAGGCCTCAGTGCCAGGAAGTGTCTCCAGATGAGTGCTGTTCTTCAAGTGGGTCGGTTGCGGTGTCCGTTGCCGTGCAGAAAGAGGCGAATAATACTTCTTCTCCTGGAGAGGGTACTGTGGAAGATCCTGACGGTTGCCATCCATTTAGAGAACGCGGTAGTCTTGATTTTGTGGAGAATGTACCACTGTCTCAATTTGAAATCAACGGGGCACCCGCTGATTCTGCCAAACCTGATGCATCAGGCCAAAGCCAGAATTCCACTTCTGCTCGGCCCGTGACCAAGTGGGTATATCATCCAGGTTCACTATCGAGTCAAACCCGTGGACGCCGGAAAGAGGTCAATGAGGCGTCTGGAGTTTCATCACAGAACGCGGGCTCTACAGGAGCAATCCCGGAGAGTATCAATACAGAGAACCCTAATCCATTATTTACACAATCTCTTGATGTATCTCCAAATACAGACTCGGGGACATCCAGGAGAGTAACCACACAACCAGTCGGTGCCGCATCCTCAGAGGATGATGCTTCAATTGCTGGTCCCTTCTGGGCTATCGTGGGACCGAATGATCCATGTACATCTGGACCATGTTATGATTTATCCTCCAGCCGACTTGAAAGTCAGGTTCCTTTGGAGACCTGCCAGAACCTTCACTCAGCAAGAAATTCCCTGTTGACTGTTGCTTCTCCACCTTTGTCTCAAGCTCATGCAGATCCGCCACCTGACCGAACATCTCGACCAGTCGACGAAGTTACTGCAAAACTCCTCGCAAGCTTGAATCGGTCGAGTCCGCAGCCTCCGAATACAGGGAAAGTCATGCCAACTCAGACGGGTTTCCAGTCACTTACGACCAGCATTTCCAACCTGACGAAGGTCTTGCTCGCAACTCACTCATCGGCTTCGCCAGAATCAGATTTGGTTGGGCTCCAAGAATCACTCCAAACAGCCATCCTAGGGCTCTCCGAATGCCTTCTAATTGAACAGGCGAAAAGCATCACCGAGCAATCAAGTGCGGCGGTTCGTGGTGGATCACTCGCAGCTGATTCTCCTATCGCCGTAGAGGCAGCGGTGACTGGTGAAGTTCCATTAGACATATTCAACCTCATTTGCCAGGATGAAGTTCAAGGCAACAGCGATTGGGGTTACATGAAGGTACACTTCGTGATCCCTTTTTGTAATGGGTTTGTATATGCGTGTTCTAGCAATGTTGTTTATCATGGAAGTTCTGAGTGCCTTATGGAGCAGCTTGCGAGCCTATTCTATGATTTCAAGCTGTGCGTGATTGATGCTTTGATTCTTCGTTATATAAGCTTTCAAACAAACACGATACCTGGTTTTTGTTTCAGAAGTCTTACGTGCTTGTTTTGGCTCATTGGTGCTTGTGCATACCGTCAGTCAGCAGAAGGTGTTCCGCTGGAGGAACCGACTCAGCTTGCCAACACTATCTGCAGCGAAATCAGCCCAGGCCTTGACGTTATTTCAGAGGTTGTTGATGACAACCCAATATTTCCGGATGCCAATGCGTTTCAAAAGACTGCTATCTCGAAGGTGCATGTTGATGACTCCACCAAGCATTTCAATTTGGGTAGTTCTGCCAATGTGGCCCAGAACAATTGTACGATGTCTGACCAGACGCATCCTTCCGTCCAGAGGGCTGGTGACAAAGACATTCTTGAATTTTTGAGACATCAAGATCTGCTTAATCTTCCAACATTGAAGAAACTTCTTGGTGCAGAAGAGAGAGAGAAACAACTCAAAGTTCTTGTACAGGATCTTAGGGAGCAGCTTGAATTTGAAAGGGAAGAAAGTAAAGGTGCTGCTTTTCTATATGAAAAGATTATGCAAGAGGCAGACGTGCACACATCAAATTTGCTAGAGAGATCGAGGACCCCAGTCAAGAGTAAAATGGAAGTAGTCAACGCCGATGCAGTGAGTTCTTCTATCAACACGTCAATTCTTCCTACAACTGCTCTCAAACCAGCGCATCCAAATTCAAGTGGTAAGAAGCCAGATGACTATGACGTATGTTGTCCCTCTGGTTTTGATTATAATCGTTGAATTTAGTATTGTACGCCTATTAAGATTTCAAAATCAGGTTCTGCTTGATTGTCTTAATTAAGTACAGAAGGAAAGTAATCGTTTGCTGTAATCACTTCAGCAATCTGACAACCTATAGTTAATCTTTTGTTCCTTGCATGACCTGTCCTGATTTTTTGAATATGATGGAGCTTGTAGTTCATTCCTGTTTTTTCAGATTCAGTTCTGGCTCTTTCACCTTGTAATTTACGTCCTGTTATCTCGTGAGACTTACCGTCCCTTCTTGTTAGTGAAGAGCAAGGAATGGTGGATGTCCATGTATCTGCTGCTTACGAAGGTCCTTGTATATCATCTAGGGGCAAGAAGGGCTACTGCTGATCACCTTGAGAAAGAAGACTATACGGGCTCACGTCCTGAGTGTATGCGCAAATCCATCTCGTATGATGGTAACGACCGGACCACCTTGAAATGTCGTGAGAAAGGGAAATGCGATAGCAGGGAATCAGAACCTAGGGAAGTAGTTGCTACATGTAACCCATCAGGCAATAGATCTTTGGACGGAGTGGAGGCTCGATTGGCTGTCTTACGAGGACGGCCGTGTGGGGAACAGGACTTAGATGCCCTTACTGAAGTAGACTCTTCTCCTTCTGACAAGCCTGGCCCATCAAACTCGAACAGATCCAGGGAGGAAGTAATTGGAGATACACCTCGTGGTAGGTTTTTTAAACACCGAAGCCGTTTTTTGTGATTCAAGAAAAGTATGCTATTTTTTCCGCGTAATGTGATAATCATTATTGACGTTCGTGTTCGAGCAGATACTCTCTCATTCAGAAGCTCGTCAGCGAACAGATGGGTTGAGTGTAATCACAAGGACTGAGTACTGTGGAGGTTTTGCCTTACCCGTACTAGGCTGTCCGGATCTGATTATGTGGTCCTGGCTTCTGCTTGCAGGAGTGCATGATGAGCAGGTTACATTTGCCCTGGCAAATGTAACTCCAGCTCGTTTTTCTTCACAGATGTTGCAGCAGTCTCTGTTTAATATGGATGCCGCTTGGAGTAAGTGTTACGACCATGCTGGATCACAATATGAGGATTTGGATGCGGATCCTCATGCTAAGGTGGAAGAAGTAGACACGCGAAGTCACAGTTTGACTCAAACCCATGACAGCAGCCTAGGTGTTGAGGCACGAGCGCTCTTGATTAGATCCAGATCCAGTTGGGCAGCGAGTGAGAGATTGGAAAACGGCGATGAGAATTTTGCTGGTAGTCAAGATCACAGATCTTCACGCCGAGATAGTGCATCAAGCTTTTCTAAGCTTGACGAGAGTCGCGTTGAGAACATGGATGAGACCTCGGTTAAAGGACCTCTGGATTTGGAAAGTCCACAATCAGTTGTGGCCCGAACCACCAGTTCCAGGTCTCATATTGAAAACGATATTGGTTGCATGTTAGAATCACTAAGCTCTGACACAGAAGCAGTTAAGAATGTCATTCAGTCTCAGGACTCCGAGGAAGAAGCAGGTTGGGAGCATGTCCGATTACCAAGGCAGAGATCAAAATGAGATTCTGCCGTTGTGTTTTCTGGGATGACATCAAAAGTACGAGTTTTAAAGGGTGTCCGTCATCCATACGATTATTGTTAGTTCATGGTTCCTAGGTGTGATGGTGTTGCGGATGTGCGTAAATTCTTGCCTGTCGGCTCTGAAGCAGGAATGCACTGTGTGAAGTTTTATTGGTCAATCTTGGAACTCTACTTAGTAGTAAAGACGGTACAGTTCTGCTTTGAGGCTAAGTGCGCTTGACGGAGTTCGTACCAACTGGTAGACTCCGGAAGCGTTGGTACGATATGTATGTATATTCATACTTTTGCTGTAAATAAAAATATAGATTTCCGTCTTCTTGCACTGAGTCCATTGCAGGAATGCCGGGACAACATCTGATCATAGTTCATCCGCAATATTCTTTCAAAATCAACCATCACTAAGGGTTCTATGTGAAGTTTACATGCTACAGGGCAATTTGAATACACAGAACAATCAATACTTTGTTGTCAAGACTCAATTTATGTTCTCTAGCAACTGATATCCAACGGTGTGTCAGGTATTTTTGCCATACGTTTGATAGAATTGGACACCAAACAGTTGTTCATGCCTTTGGAATCATCAGCAGTTCCCCATTGGGCACTCCGTCCTTTCATGTATTTCAACTATCCCACTGCTTTCTTGCATTGACATCTGAGCATCTACACTATTCAGATTTGCGGTTAGGACTAGGGTACTTTCTGTATAATTGTATTGCAAAGAGGATAACTGGACCTGCATCCTCAAATTACGATGGTCGCTCTTCTACTTTGGTCCTTATTCCCATGGCGACTATTTCAGCTCCGATCTCCTGTTATTGGTGTTCGAAGTCTTTTGTTTCCCTTTTGATAACGACGACGTCCCTTCACATTTTCACTTCTAGTTCGTAACAGTCAGGCATCTTACCTCGATGATCTTACTCGTTCCACTTTTGCTCCTCGCTGTGCTTCCTCACCAATGTCTACAACTTATTCTCACTGCCACACATCTCATCTTCTAATTCCCTGCCGCTTTACCTTAATTTGAAAATTGAGTATATGTTCTCTGCCAATCAGTTTTCCTCCCAATTCTATCACTGCTGAATCCTACTACACGTAAAGTTAGTCTTCCAGCGTTAAACCCAGCGTATATCCTTCCCGTGCCATTATTTTCATATGTACAAATGTAATAAACCATTGTCATGATATTATGGTCTGTAGATTACGTCGTAATCTACAGATTTATATCACTATAGCTGCAATAGATAGTGAATCTCTTTCGCTCACATATTTGTGTGGACTTGCCGATAGCCCAACAAATATATTTCAATGATTTAGTCTCTACGTTCTCTACGGACGCAGGTCACTCCTCAGAACTTGGTTGTGTTCTATCTCAACATTTCCAGGTAATATACCCCCTTTTTGACGTGTAAATACAACAGGATTCTCTCTAGGTTTCATATTATAAAATATAAAAGAACTTCCTCCGTCCCCTCTTCCCGACTTAAAACTTTTCACTGTCACTCAAAAATATACCTCCTTGATGAATTTTTTTGTTGATAACTACAAAAACCCATCCTTCGATGAAATCTTGTCAGATAAATTTCACTCGTCCTTCTTGAAACAAATATACTTCATGTCAAGACGTGACAGACGTAGAGTGAAGTTTTTAAAATCTGAACCAAATGTCTTCTCTGCGCGAGAAAGGAATATGCATTTAACCCCCAGAACCTCCGATCAAATTTTCATATAAGCTTGTCCACACCACATGGATTCTGTTTGAATTCTTATTACTTCGTTTCTAGTCATGTCTACCTTGGACATTAGTTGCCCTGAATATTCTTTCAATAAGTTGCACACGACTGGTGTTGTATATGCTGTGTGATATTACAGCCATAGATTTTGTGGCATGAATGTGCCCGACATGACACCTATGAATATCATCAAACTTAGTATTGAGATTTTTTTTATTTTTTTTATGTTTATTGTATACGTACTACATGTATGATCACTTAGTTTAAGAATGTATGATAATTTGAATAATTTTATATCTACATCAACTAATGATTTGTTGGAAGTTCGTTTGCAAAACTAGTTTGAGATGAATGACATGAAACTCTTAATTTTGTTGTAAATTGAATTGGTTTGTTGAAGATCATGCTTGATTTATGATAGAACTATCGAGCTAACTACATTACTCCAAACTATTAACTATAACACCTTGGATTGATATGTTCTGAGTTGACAAAGCTAGATTATGAGCAGAGTGGGAAAAATAAACATAAGATAGAACTTTTGTTTAGCTCAAGGAAAAATGTTACGCTAAGTGACTAAGAAAACTATAGGAGTGATCTCATCGTATTTCTCTTGAAGAATGAAAAAGTAAAATTATATTAGATTCTAGTACCAGATATAAGCATGATGTCCAATACAAGCATAGTTCTAGTAATATGTATAGTTTAATACAAGCATGATTTTATTTCTATTTTCAGCATACTACTGAATTGGCATACTTTTCAAATACATGCTGATTGTATTATGGTGAATTAGATAATTTTTTACCAACATAATCACAAGATTTGTACTAGCTAATATAAATCATTTCAATCATAACTTTGATCACTTTTGAATGAGGATTTTTGACATTGGCACAGTTGATATGTGATTTATTTGATAATTATTTCAAATTTATAACTGATCATCGATCATTGAAGTATTTCATGAAATCAAACAAGCTTAAAGGGAAGATTTCATGATGAAATCATTTTCAAGAATATTTAGTCATACACCAACATGGAATAATGATAAATGAACAATTTTTACCAATCATTCAACTGATTTCATGCATAGATATACAAAAAATATGAAGCTTATTATATATATCAGTCTTATAATTACATGATGGTAATTATATAACTGATTATTATTATCATTATCGTTGATTGGTTCAGTTCAAACTATCATGTTTTGACATTTGATAAATGGTTATGGTAAATGATTATAGACCAAGCCCGGTGTACCCAAAGTATCAAAATGTTGAAATACGCAATACAAGCAAAAACCACAAACAAGTAAAAAGACTCCAAAGGTCAATCCCTAGCTAGTGCCAATAGCACTAGAACGTTACCTAATAATGTCCCTAATATAACAACCTAAATCAAAAGGAACTAAATAAAATAAAGAATAGAAATTTTCCACATCTTTATTATGAACAAGCCTAATTTCTTCCTATCTAGTACAAGTAAAAATTCATGCTCTTCATTTTCATACTCAATGTATCCACAGTCACATTACAAATACATTTACTCCTATCAATTTTAAACCAACGTTCTTCCTCAATTCCAAGCCTATGAGATCCAGTTCTATTCCTAGTAATAATATGACGTAAGTACATAGAGATTCTTGCAAGTAGGTAAACAGTTCACAATAAATAAGTATAGGATTCACAGGAAGTTGGTAAAACTGCATCTTTGTACCGCGCTTGCTCAAAATAATGTTCAAAAACTACTACTTTAGACATTCACGGAGTGCCATAGGTTGCAGTTTTCAATTGTGTTCCGCCACATTCCACCTCAAAGACCAATTTATCACATCCGCTAACCATCCTTTGGCATGTGTGGCATGCAAAGGTTGAAGAGGAGGGCCAAAAGCATCAAAAAATCTCACACTTCTAATGTAAATGATGTTCAAGTATAGAGCTTTGGACTCTAGAGGTAAGCAATATGTTTCAGCAAGAAGAATAGCATATAGAGTGTGATTTCTCACACCCAAATCTTCTTGTAGAAATATCTTCTACATCCTCTCCACAAGCTCCCAACCTGTTTTCATACAACCAGAGCCGCACACTTGATTTCTATATAATACTACTAGCAACACCAAGTCTAATGAAATTTTAAACAAAAATTTCATTAGACTCCAAGACACTAGAGTAGACCCTCTCCACCGATTTAACAATGAGTATAGAGCTTTGTAACCACCTTCTACTTCTTTTGCATGCAAAGTGTTCAACTATAATCATTAGAAATATCAATGCGTAGATATTTATAAGTCTTCACCTTTTCTAATTGTAGATCCTTGTAATAGAAATAGAACTTGGATCTAATGGCTACTATCATGACTTTAGACTTCTAAATATCTACCTCCATCTGATTCTAGGTACAAAAGCTAGCCAAACTTTATAGGTGTTTTTGTAAACTAATCGCATCACGTGCTAGTAATATGATATCATCTACATACAAAAGAGCTTTGATAACAAAGTTTCCAAGCTTGACACCTTCACTATCACATGCCTCCAATCATTTTTTGATACCACCTATGAAAACTTCAAATAGAGTAGGAGAGAGAGTATAACCTTGAATTACAGTAATGTTACTCAAAACCTATTCAATGTGAGAAGTGTTGATCTTGGTCGGAAGAGAATGATATAATGTGGTCAAAAACTGCTAGAAGATCTTGTGATACTCCAATGGCTTGCAACCTTTTCCATAAGAGCTCACGAGGTATAATGTTAAAAGCTTTCTTATAATCGATTAAGGCTCAAAACAAAGCTTTTCAATTGCCCTTAAACTTTCTCCCATAAAACACGCAAGATCAATATAGGGTCAATGATGTTGTATGTAGGGCGAGAACATGCTTGAAACTGCGCTTTCTTTTGATGAGATTTAGTTCATGTGCTCAACTTTGACTACAACAATTTATCAAACAACTTGGCAAAATCACTACCCACCATGATATTGTGATAGTTTGTCACCAAGTAATTCTTTCCAGATTTATGGATAGAAACAATCTTCCGTAAAGACCAAGTTGAAGGAAAATCATACATAGCAGCATTTTTTAAGGCTTTAGTGAGTATTGGTTCAATATTATCTACTTTCCACTTAAAAAATTCAATAGAAAGATCATTCAAATTCCCTTGATATCCATTTTCTAATTTATTGACTTGAATCATCATCTCTGAATCAGAAAATAAGCTAAGTATGACTTCACAATAAGGCATTGATGGAGAGTCGAGAAAGAAATAAAGCTTTCCAGCAAAGGCAATCTTGGGATCAAGAGTAGCTTTAGAAGAACACAGTGCTAACCGTCTCCAAAAAGATTTGAGATTTTTCATCAGCTTCTTTGTCAAGGATTCTTGCTTCATCATCAAAAAAGTTGGTTTCTTAGACTTCATCAAGTTTTTGTAAAGCCTTGTCAAGATAAAGCAATTTTGGAGATTCAAATACTTGTCTACTGACCTCATACTCGCTTGGTTGCAATCAAAGTCAAACCATCCATTGCAAAGAAGACCTTAGCTCTCCGATTTTTATGCTGCAAAAATAACTTAGAAGCAGTGTTTTTGAGCAAGTCTGTTAATTGCAAACTTTTTGTATGTGGATCAAGGC